ATTGTGAAAATGCTAACACACATACACATGGTGGTGTACACTTGGTGGTGTTGGCACATTTACAAAGGAGGTGGTGTTTGTAGGGGTGAGATGGGTTTGGGTCCTTCTCTCCCTCCCGCCGAGCTTACGAGGCGGGATTCGGCGCTTTCGGGAAAATAGAATGCCTATTTTCTATTACGCCTGATGCAAGTTCTTGTGGTTAGCACATTGGAGCAAGGGTGATGAAGTTAGAAGTGAAAATGAGTTAGTCACGAAGATGCTGGCGTCGGTCAACTGACCGGACGCTGGATCTGAATGCACCGGACGCTGGCAGGCTGCGTCCGGTCAGGCTGACGTACGATGACGCAGAAGCTGGAGTGTGACCAGACGGCTGGCCGCGTCCGATCATAATCGAGGTCGGTACCTTCTTTGAAACGACCCGACGCTGGGGTTCAGTTCAGCGTCCCGCTCGAAAGCTCGCCGCGTCTGGTCAAGTCAAGTGACCATACACGTGGTTGTCTGCAGGCGACCGGACGCCGAGGTCCAGCGTCCGGTCAACACGATAATATAAATAGAAGTGGCCCTCGGCCATGGCTGAGCCGAGCACCTCAAGGGACTTAGTGTCCATGCTTGTGAGTGCTTAGGAGCCCTCCATCACACACATACTTAATAGCGATCATTCGATTATATGAGTGAGCGATTCTAGTGCGATTGCATCGTGAGGTTGCATCGAGTGGCACTAGGTGATCGAGTTGCAAGCCGGTGGTGCTTGTTACTCTTGGAGGTTGCCACCTCCTAGACGGCTTGGTGGTGGTCTCCGTCGAAGCGCCAGCAAGAAGATTGTTGCGGCGCCCGGAGAAGTGCTTGTGAGGGGCATTGTGCTTTTCATGAGCCGCGAAGAGCAACTCTAGTAAAGCGTGTCATTGAGCTACCCTCACTCAAGGGGTAGGTTCTTGCGGCGTCCGACGTGCGGGCTTAGCGGGTGATGCTAATTAGCCGCCGAACCACCAAGTGAGCGGTCGACACAACGGGGACTAGCGTGTTGGCAAACACGTGAACCTCGGGAGAAAAATCATCGTGTCAACCTTGTTCTTCCCGTTGGTTTGCATCCCCATTACACAAGCTTGCAATTACTTTTATACATATTAAGCTTGTGTAGTTGCTCTTGTAATTAGATAGCTTGTGTAACTTGCTAATTATCTTCTTGCTTGTGTAGCATAGAAGTAGCTCCCTTGCGTGGCTAATTTGGTTTTAGTAACCTTGTTAGTCACATTGCTTAGTTTGTGTAGCTAAGTATTTGCGCTCTCTAATTAGGCATTGGTTGCCTTGTTATTGAGCATTGCTAGTGAGCTTAGTTAGCTTTATGCTTTTGCTTACTAGCATGTGTAGGAGCTCCCTTGTTACTTAAAGTACTAGTGGCATATGTTTATGTGACCTTGCTCCTAGAATTGTTTAGGAGAGCTCTAGCTAGCCCAGCACCTTAGTTGCTTTATTAGTATCTTTGCAAGGTGCTAGTGAACATTTATAGAGGGGTGTAGTCTTGGCTAGACCGATTGTTTTAATTCCGCATTTATATCGGTTAGCCGACGCGATTAATTTTAGAAAAGACTATTCACCCCCCTTTAGTCCGCCATCTCGACCTTACAACTAGGCAAAGTCCTCACAATACTAGAATTACAATTTCTTATTTTTACCTCCTATTTCTATTTTATTCAATATTATTACTTAGAATGATCTTCAAGTTATACAACAACAGTCATCTTCTATCTCATGTGGGGCATTCTGTGTTGTCCTCAAGATCAAGATAGATGGTTTGGGTATAACAAACCTATAGATAAAAAACAAATGCCTTCTAAGCAAATATTTAAACTACTTAACAAAGAAGGAACCTAGCAGATCTTGCTTATGAATAAATATTTGAGTTCAGAGTCCTTATCATAGGTTCATACAAAACCTAGGGACTCACGGTTTTGGAAAAGTCTTCTAAAGGTGAAGGAAGATTTCCTGGGATGTGGGACTTCCGAAATAAATGATGGCTCGCATACCAGATTTTGGCAATACAAATGGGTAGGTATCAAACATTCAAACCCCTAAAGGAGCAATTTTCAAACCTATATAACAGTCAATTACCCTCATATTCCGATGGCATTAGTTATGGATCAAGTTCCACTAGATGTTTCTTTTCAAGGAGTTTCAATTGGGGATAAGTTGGCTACTTGGCATAACCTAGCAGTGAATATAGCTAGCTTTTGGCTATCCAATGGAAGGGATAGTTTCACCTGGGACTTGAATAAAAATGGTATTTTCTCATTACGATCTATGTATATGTATCTGATTAACCAGGTACACCCTTTACAGATAAATTTATTTGGAAGATGAAGCTCCCACGTACTAAAGGTAAATATTTTCCTATGGTATTTACATAGAGTAGCATGTGATAGCTAAAAGGAATTGGTCGGGGAGTCAAAAGTGTTGTTTCGTTGAACACCTCTTTCTCAATTGTCAGCATGCTAAGACTATGTAGTGAATTGTCCACATTGATGACAAGAGGATATGGAAGTGTAAAGAACCCCTGAAAATTACAATTTTTGGCAGATTACACACAATAAGCTCCAAACAAAAGGGGTTGGAAAGAGGGCAAAGAGTGTTGCCTAAGTGGGCAAAATGCATTAGTCATATTTTTTTTTCGGGTGTGCTATCTCTAGGTTTGTGTGGTGCTGTGCGCGTGAAGCCTTTAACTGAACTGGCTATCCTACTTGCGTTGAGTCCATGGAGAACTGGACTAAAGGAAAACGGAATGACTAGCGCCCGGACGTCCACCCGCGAGGACGCATCCGGACGCCACGCCTGTGCCCGTCCACCTGCTACGCCCGTCCCGCCCGCCCCACCTATCCCGCCCTTTTTTCCAAAAAAAAAACCTGCCCCGCATGCAACTCTGCGCTTGCACGTTTCACATGCAACTGCTACGCCTGCATGCTAGTGCGCCTACGCATGCAGTTGTGCATGCCTCGTGCCTGCTGATGCCCACCTCGTGCCTGATGCCCGCCTCGTGCTTGCTGATGTGCATGCAGGTGGGGAGCGCTACGCACGTGGGGACCACATCTGCATGCTACTTCCTATGCCTGCTAATGTTGCAACCTGAAAGTATTTCTGCAACATACGTCTGAAACTAGTGAAACATGTACAAACATACGTTTGCAACATATGTGTATAGTAACTACAACATCCAGATAAACACATTTTGCAACATACGTCTGAAATAGATAAAACATTTTGAATAGACACTTGCAACATATGTATGAAACATATGCAACATTGCAACATATAGATGAAACACTTGCAACATAGGTCTAAAACAGGTGAAACACTTGGAACATACACTTGCAACATACATGTATAGCCACCACAACATATGCAATATCCAGATAAAACACTTGCAACATACATTTGAAACAGTTGAAATATTTGAAACATACACTTGCAACATATGTGTATAGTCGTTGCAACATATGCAACACCAAATCTACTTTTGCAACATCTAGATGAAACATATGCAACATACATATGAAATGCATAAAACATATGGTTGACAACATGTGCTCATCTACTTGCTTCCGTTGAGGCGCGAGGCGCAAGGTGCGGACGGCGTGAGGCACGGGCGGGGTGCATGGCACAAGGCGCGAGGCGGGGAGGCGCAGGGGCGCGCGGGGTGGGTCCATGGGAGGCACGATTTTTTTAGGAAAGCGCGAGTCACGAGGTGCAAGGGTGTAAGGCGCGAGGTGCAGGGGCGCAAGGCATGAGGTGCAGGGGCGCGCAAGCAAGGCGGGTCCGTCCCATCCGGATGTCCTGATAGGAGGACTACCGAAAAGGAATTTCACAACAATTAGCTTTGTTCATTTTTTACATGGTCAATATGATTATATATATGGAGAACGGGGACAAGGACAAGATGGCTATTGGAATGTCATTTCCTAAAATGACCTGCTGAAGTAATCTTCTCTGGTATATCTTTACTGCAGAGTTGGAAGCCACTGCTAATGTGATTGGAATTAAGAGGTCGAGCAAGTGATGGAGACGCTGCTACGATGGATGGGCAACTTTAATCCCACGTCAAGAAATCCTACGGTTGTTGTTGAGCGGTAGTGATACTGATACGGTTAATCATATTACTATTAGCCAGTCGCATTGTCCTTTTGCTTTGATGTCTGTCCAAATTCTAGCTCTCGCTGGTATCCCCAGCTTTTGTATCAAACTTATATGCTTTCTTAAAAGCAGAGTAATATCTCCTTTTCAAAGAAAAAACCTCTGAAAGATATACCTGTTTTTATGCTAAGTTCTAAATGAGGCAAACAGGTAGAAAACGTACCCCGGTCCCGGTGAACCAAAACCACAGCAAATAAAAAAATTCCGATGAATATACCTTGAACTTCAGAAAACCTGTCAACATTTATCCTCACTCAAGGTAAAAACAGTTGCACTACATTTTATGGAGTATGCAAAAATGACCAGCTGATTCACATCGAGAACCAAAACATTGTACCAGGAACTGCAGCAAGCAACAAACTGACAACAAAACGAAACTACGCAATGGAACAAGAAAACAGTTCTCACAGTAATAAACTTACATAATGTAGAATGATTTCACCATGATTACCAAGACACTACAGTAAAAGGAAATCATTCTATTATATAAGAAAAGAAAAGGAAGCCACGCTTGGCATGTGGTGCCATCCAGGCTTCATCATACTGCAAAATAGTGCAGCACAAGCAACACTCCAAGCTAGATACATTGAACACAAGAGCTACTACCCCCGCCCCCCCTATACCACTGGCAGTCTGAAACAGCCCAGACAACTAAAATCCTTCAACTATCTACTTCAACCCCTGAACCAGTAGTGTAACTATGAAGAATGTTAAAACTAAGAGGAGCACTTCTTTCATCACCCTAGCAAAACAATTGGGCCTTCAACACAAGGGCTCCAGAAGTAAAGAGAGACATTGAATGTCATATGAAGGCAGCGCTATGAATCCACCATCTCATCCTGCAATTCATTCGGGGCGATGAGCCCTGGAATGGAAAGCATACGTTGGCGTTCCTTTTCCCTCTGAGCAGCAGCCTCTTCAGCATATAGATCCTTGTTATCCTGGCACCAGATGACAACAAGAAAATCAGCAGAGAATATAATTTACAAACACCTCACTCGATAATGTATCACTCATTAAAAACTAGATTATAAAGGAAAGAACTGAAATCAAAGACATCCTTCTGATATTGTGCTATTGTCAGATTGATGTGGGCTAGGGTTTCCTAGCTCTAATGCAATGCTTCGATATGAGCAAGGAGGCTGTGCAGTTCATTGATTAATATGTAGGTGTAGATACAAACAGTTTCATTATATGGCAAAGATCTATTTTTTATTTCAGCAAGGCCAAATGAAATAAATTTATTCAAAGTGATGCAGGCACTTTTGTGACATTACCTGGGCAGAGAACTCCTTAGATTGAACAAGAAAATCCCTTATATGATTCTTAAAATTGGGAGGATCAGTTTTTGAACTAAAAAGTCCATCAACAAACTTTGCTACCTGTAGAAAACATAGATGTCAAATTTCCTGCTGATTGAACTAAGAATAGATGTACACAAGGGATAAAAATACCTCTACAGGCGTCATGTTAGGAAAGGATGAGCTGAGAAGTTTAATAGTGTAGTCTCGAACAAACATTGCATTATTTGTGAATTGAGAAGGAACTGCTGAGGCATCCCAGAGAGGCTCCGTTAGACCATCAACCTAATATGCCAGCAAACATAGTAATCAAATACACACACACACACACACACAATCATCAGAGGACAGAACAACAGATAAACATATATGTATATATATTTACCACATAGAACAAATGTTGAAGCACAAAAACATGAAGCTTGAAACCAGGTTTGTGGAATGTGTCTGTGAGCACTGCAAATATCTCCTGCTCAATATTTAAGAAGTATGTCTTGTAGAACTGATTTTGGAACCCTGAAGCCTGCAAGGACAGCATCACTCAGGTTACCTTAAGTGTAACCAGAGTACTAACCAAGGATAGAGCATAAATTGCACCTCGAAGTTCTTCAAAATTTCCAATAACAGGCCTAGACCGGTCTCAGCAATATTTCTCTCTGTATGTCGAAATGCCCAACTTATGGAATCCATAACAAGCTTTAGTTGCTGAAGCAGACAGATAAATAATCAGGTTAGTAAACGAGTAATCTGCAAGCAGAACAAGCATGTTTTCGCTTTGAGCTTAACAATAAGCATATATGATGATGGCATTGTAATTTACAGGACATCTGAAATATGAAATACCAAATTCACTTGTACCTGACTAGAGAGCTGAATAAAAGCTTGGAAACAATGTGTACCAATGGCACGAAGCAAGGAGAAAAATTTAAGGCGATGCTCAGGATAGTCTTCAAAGTTTTTGGTGATCATCTGATATGAATCATAAGAAAATAATTCAACTATAAATGAGAATTATATTTTATCAGCAAAAAAAAAAAATCAGATTGAAATTACATTATCTATACCTCCAGAGTACACTGAAAAACAGCCTCAAAAATGCGAGGAACTTCCTCAAGCATCTCACCTTTGTACCTATGCAGAAAACGACAAATTACTAACAAACTCCATTTGCCAACAACAAAGCCTTTAGTCCCAAGCAAGTTAGAATAGGATAAACAAACTCCATTTGTTACCAAAAAAGGTCCATAAAAGACCAGTTCATGCACATCTATATTTAACAAGCAAATCACGAAACAAAATGAATGAAGAAAATAATGGCAGGCTTACTTGTTTATAATTGTCGCGAATAATGACAAAACTTCAGATTCTCTTGCATGAGGCACGTTTCTAGCGTAATCACCTAGAACAGGATCCATCATTGGGGGAACAAACTGTTTCCCCAAGTGTGGTAAATCTTCGGCTTTGTCCAGAAAAGTCTCGATCAATTTTAATGTCTCCCTCTTTACTGATCTGTTTATTACAAACCACTTAACAAAATACACAATATTAATATCTGCAGGGAATAATTATTCATACCTCAGAAGTTTTACAAATGATGTCTTTGAAGCAAAAGGCCCTCCTTCAGAAATAGTGCTTGACACCAGTTCACTGTACATTCTGATATGTAACAGGCAAGGAAGTATATTAGCTGCTCAAACATTGACTCTGTAGCACATTAGCAGGTGATACATACAAAACTTCCATCAAACGAGCAATGCAATAATATGAAGAAAGCAATACTGTCAGCAAATCTGCAGCATCAGAGAAACCAAATTGGGGGGGACTCACTGAATGGACTACAAGCATGTGTGGAGCAATTTAAATTTAAGAAAATAAAAGGATAAAAAAAACTTTGGTAAACTGCAAGTGAAAATACCTATACACTGTCAACATGTCCAGGAAGATAACTGAAATTTGTGGGAAAAAATAAGGTCCAAGTGAGCATGCAACACCTGTGTTCGTCTGCAAGCACCAAAAACTATATTTGATAAGAACCAGAAAAAGAAATAAAATTGGAGAAAAAAGTGGCACTAATTTGAAAGTTGCCTGGGCAATTTAAAATGATACTAGGGCATGCTTCTAATAAAGTGGTTGGTACAATTATCTAAAAGAAAAGGAAAAATGTGTCTAAGGTGAGCCCAATATGACACTAGAGTATGCTTCTAACAAAGAAAAAAAATCCAACATTTGAACATCAAATCTAATGAGGAAGTGTCACAGTATCAGGTACCATCCACTATGCAAGTGACATGATGCCACCAATTAGGCAGTTGCCTTTCACGAAAGTAGATAAGCAATAGAATCATAGAAGCATGAGAACAAATATAGCCTCCCCTTGGCCACTTCGAAACTTAATTTATTACCTGTAAGATGTTCAGAACAGATCTGATGACATCTTGGTTTTTCAAAATATCAGTGCTTCGGCCCAGCCTCCCCAATTATTTCAACCCATTTCTGCAAGATTAGAGTAATAATTTTACAACTAAAATACTAGGTTAAAGTCATACAAAAATTGGATGACAAAATCTATGAGTGTGGAACCTGATTAGGTAGGCTCATCAATCTCTTGAGATACTCCTCCCTCTTAGTATTGTCAGATTCAGCTTGAATCATCTGACCAACCTGAAGAAAGATAATGAAAACATAAGATATATCCTTCATTGACAGACTGCCAAATAGCTAATTTCAACAGCATACCGATTCATAGAACGAATGGATCTGATGAGGCTCAAGATCTGCTATTGTGGTAGGAAGGTTGGACAACAGCACAGAAACAAATGGTTCATTCTCACCCACCTGTACAACCATGAACAAATGTTGAATAAATGGTAACAGCCACACATCACCGAGAGATACACATCAGCACATGCCCATGTGTTCCATACTATTCTAATTTTTAGCGTTGGGACAGCCTAAAATATACATTGAGTTTAGTCACAACACATGATAGAGATGCCTTTAAAACTACCTTTTAATTGAACGATACCAAGTCACAACACCCGAAAATATATATTCAGTTCTGAATACTTCAGCTCAGCTAAGCAAGATTTTAAGAGAGCAGTTCAAAGCTAGATTCCTAGACACATTCTACTGTAATCTGCACAATAGGTAATCTAACAATACCAAACTAACCTGGAGTGTCACAAACTTGCGCTTGCACTTCTGAACAATTTTCAGGAAAGTGTCGCATGCCATATCCTACAAACAAAACATGGATTAGGTTCTATATTACTTTTGTGTTCTTCACAGGGCAAAAAGTTTAAGAATATATAACAGTGCCAGATATATGTAACAATAAGACAAATTAAGAAAAACCTTGCTGCCAGATACACAGCAGAATACGATAAAAGACTATCTGACTTACTAGCTAAATATGAGGACTATAATTTTCAAATTAAAAGCTGCAGAACCAATTGAACAGAAACTAAATGCATTTTTCTTCAACAAACAAAAGAAACAGAAATATGTAACCTGAACTCCAGGATGCATCTCATGCATGAACTCAAATAATTTGTTGACCACTGTTTTTAAAAACTTCCAGTGCGCCCTTAGAAACCTTGGGTATTGCCCCACAACATACCTAATTATGGGAAAAAGAATAGCAGCAAACAGATCATTCTAAATCTTACCATAATAAATAAAAGCATGATAATATAAAATGGAAGCAATACTTACATAATATTACTTGCTATCACAGCTTTGTTATCTTTCCCTTTCGTAATCTCACAAAGATTCAACAAATCACGAATAACCAATACCAAAAACCGGTTTTCCTGCAGCAGATTTAATAGGGACATACTTAAAGGTTTTGAACAGATGAAACTCTGTCAGCAACAAAACTTGTGTGCATTTGTGTCCAGGTTCAGCCTAGAGTCTAGATTCTGAGTCATTAGTGATAGCATGATTTTAGCTAGTAGTTCAAGAAAATAATAGGCTGATTATGTTAGTAATGGCTGCTTTGACTAGAAGATTTTTCTCAGCCTTAGAGCATCTCCAAGAGACTCTCCATATCCTTCTTAAATGTTAGGAATAGAGATTTTGGTGAAAAATTATCCTCCAATAGCTTCTCTAAATGGTTATCCAAATATAGCCCTTCTATTCCGGATTTTTCGCTAGCCAAAAATAGAAGACGAGAATGGCTCTCTAGAGTGGACATTAGATATAGAAAAACTGTTGGAGAGTGAAAAGATATAGAAAACGATTTTTATGCAAATGTCTCTTCAAATGATGATTTAGAGAGTGGGATTTAGAAAGACTCTTGGAGATGCTTTTAGAAGTAGCACATGGCTGTATATGTGATCTAGAAATCAGAAAAGAAGCTAGGTCAATTTCCAGCCACTAAACCTACTGTGCACATGTGTGTTCTTGTGTGTGAGTTCCTGGGAGAACTGTTGAGGGTTGTTTTCCTTTCAAACACTACATTACACTACGAATAACAGAGCAGTATACAAAAGAGAAAAATGACAGATCCAGAATGTTAGAAAGGTGCATTATGCATGGATTGTCCAGAGTGCAATTGCCACCAAACTGTAGTGTTTCTCAACTGTTGGAAAAGGGATTATACTCATTGGGTTGGTGGCATTTTACCATTTAAGTTTGGGGTTGTTACTGTATTGGAGCATATCAGCCAATCAGAGGAAACTAAAACAATGGAACAATCGAACAGATGTGGATCTTTGTTTCATTGACAAATATTAATGCATGTCTACAAATAATTATTTAAGTCAATGAACCTGTTCCTCCACCATAGAACCAGAAATGGATCCAATTGCCCAGCATAGAGTATTTAAGTTATTCCAGCTCCAGTCTTCACCGTTTAATTGCTTGCTTAATTTCCTCAACATCTGAAATTTTGAAGATGCTTCATTGTAAATTACACAAACGAAGAAGATAATCTTGTGCCAGTTATACACAGAAAGTGACATATCTCGGAAGCTACCATAATTTTGTTATAATACTTAGGAAGATAAAATAGGGCTTCCACATCACCAAATAATAACCAACAACTCTAGAAGCATAATGCTAAGCCTTTTTCTATTTCCAAAGTTCCACTTGGGCAGGATGAAAAACACCAGAATATTATATTAAAAAACACACAAAGGATAGGCTCGAGATCCAGGTGAAAACACAGGAAAGTTGAAGGTGGTAGTATCTGTACTGGGCACAGGATATGTTGTCTCAATCATAAATGACCAAGAGAGAAAACGAAATTGGACTTGATTTTTAGATTCCTATGTAACTCCCCGAAATCAAAGAAAAAAAAAACTATCCTATGAACATGAGCTGACTCGTATGTCCCAACTCAGATAGTACTCATTGCTTATGCAACCAGTCATTTCTCTAGTTCATGTAGTGTGTACATTTACCATAAACCTAACCTGGTGTCAAACAGAAATAGCATAACTAGCCAAGTTAATAACCATTCTGACAAAGTTGATTTAGAATTCATGGACCAAAATGTTAAAAAATTCCACAGTAACGCAGTAAGATATACCTGCTGTTCTGTATCTTTGTGATCAAGATGTGACAAGTATATTAGTGTTTCCCTCATGATCTAAAATAGAACATCAAACAATAACAATAGAAAGTTAATGAAAGATGCCTATGATATCCTGCACGAATTGCCAGCTAATCCTTTTACTAACCTTGTACTGAACAAGGACATCATTATCTTTCAATGTTTCTCGTACAATATTCCCATTCTCATCTTCAACAATCAAAACCTCCTCTGGCTTTGCCATCCGACAGATCATTAACGTTCTTAACTTCGAAAGTGATCCTGCATAAAGTTGCCTCCTCTGTTGAACAGCTATGAGCGTACCATCATCAGTTCCAGGAATCCGCTGAGTCTGAAGTTTGCGCATGTGGTAAATGATTAGGAATGAAGTATACAGAATTTTTAACAAGAATGAAGAGTTATGCAAGAGGTCATCAAAAGAACCATTTAAAAGAAAAATAAAAATATATCATTTACAAAAGATCAGCCCTGAGAAAGTTCAGTTTACTTCAGAACCTCTGCACTACTAACATCTCAATTTGCACACCCAAGTTATCAAATTAAACAATTTTTTTCTGTGTTTTCACCTGGATCTCGAACCTATCCTTTGTGTGTTTTTCATGTCACCCTTGTGTAAGTGGCTCTGAAGAGACAATAATATACCACATTTTTTTCTTTTTTTCTCGAACACGCAGGAGAGCTGTCATTATATTAGAAGAATGAAACGGGTAATAACCTTTACAACACCACATACACCTCCAATAATATACCACCTTACATTAAAAGTTACTGCCCACGTTCCAAATTTTAAGTAGTTTTAGCTTTGTACTAAGTTGAACTTCTCTAGCTTTGACCAAGTTTATAGAAAAATGCACAAATATCTACAACATCAAACAAGATTCTTTAGACACACCATGAAAATATAATTGGATAGTACATTTATTTGATATTGTAGATGCTATTATACTTTTCCATAAACTTCGTCAAAGTTAGACAAGTTTAACTTAGGACAAAACTAAAACGACTTGCAGTTTGAGACGGAAGCTGTGCTTCATTTGCTTCTCTGTATAATTACTTGCTTGGGAGTAGCCATTCCACAATGTATGAAATCAGGTGTGCTTTATTGAATCTTTCATGTCACCCTTATTTCTACCGAGAAAATTGAGTTCTAGATACATTTCATGTGACAAAGGACAGACAAGTTAATTCTCTTCCAGTTCTGTACATCAATTGTTTCTATTTGGTAAGCTGAAACTTATATTCTGAAAAGTATGTTTTATATGGGAAAGATGCTGCATTAGTAATCGCATACATGTCATGATGTCGAAGATGGCCCCAAACTAAATGTATATTAGCATAGCACTGCCATGTTAGTGTAACATGTCCTTTATAAATGGCAAAAACATTAAAATCTGGCATAACAACTACAACCAAAGCAAGTGAAAGCAGTGGCGGAGCTGGGGAACTTTCGCGACTAGGGCCAATATTATGAACCACCAACACCAGATCACATGCTAATGGACAAAAGTAATGCTAGTATACAGATTTAGCTGGAAAAAACAAAAAGGGATTACTCTAGTGTTTTTTCTCACGCCTAGGGCCATGGCCATACTGGCCCTAGCCTTATATCCGCCACTGAGTGAAAGCCAGAAACATAATACAATAATAGCATGGGAAATTTGAAATTTTGGTTCTGGCATCTCTCACTAAATGCTGCTGAAACGGAAAAAAATGACTAAATCATACTATCAAGATCTACACACATCCCAAAGCAAGACGAAAAAATAGGCATTTCTAACATACATAATATAAGCAGTGTTAATTAAAATTAAAAAAAACCTGAAGTTCCATCAATCGCTCCACTTGGTTGTATGTTTCAAATAATTCTAGAACAAACAGATTCCAGTAATCCAAGCAGACCTGTTTATCAAACAACCAACAATATAAGATGACCTTACACAATACTCTATGTGTTCCAGAATTCAGCCTAGCTTCATACCTTAAACATCTCTGTGTCATCAACAAATGAAATTTCAATGAGGTAGTCAAGGCCCAAAAGCAATGCAGCTCTATTTTCAGGAGTTGTTTCCAGTATGCGCATGTGATTCTACATTTATCACATTAAAATTAGAGTAATATCATTTGAGACTGGTATGGTGTGTAATACAGTAAGAATTAGCAATTTTATTTTCTTGGTCCAAAATTAGACCTGAAACTAGCCTACATTCTACAAGTCAATATTACCCCAACTTTTCCTCATAAAAAGCATAACATCAACTGCATATATGTTGGGTCCGGCAGCCCATGAATTTTATAACAATAAAAGTATCCTACTGGACAGCTTTGCTTGATTCAGAATGCAGTGATCATTACCTTGAAGAAGGATGTCAAAAGAAGTGCAAGATTTTGGATAAATGCCTGCTCAGAGAAATAAGTATGTCTTAGTGCATCATATGGGAGCAGCATGCTCATTATGCAGGATTGGACTGTCATAATCTTTTAAGGCTTATCAAAATTTTCATTAGGTTAGCACTGTTGGCAAATAGTTCCATTAGAACATCACAATTAAATATATGGTTGTGATCTTGACATCGTGTTACTAGACAGCTATACCAGAAAAGTTGGTAATCTGATTAATAAAATGAAATGGCTTCACTATCAAATTTCAATTCTACCAAAATTATTAAATTCATATTTTTTTTAAAAAAAATGTCCAACATTGAAATCTCTGTCTCTACTACTTAAAACAATGGCGTTGGTGGTGATGGTGTATTAATGTGCCTGCCATCATCACCACTCCACCTTACATTTTGCGTTATTGACCCACCCTGTCCCTGAACATAAGTGAGTTTCAAATCACCCTAATCTTCTTTAAAAGAAATAAAGAATCATGGAACCAAGGTTAACTATATATATGAATGTACTTTAATTTGTAGTGCCATTGCAGGCAGTTTTGCTAGTATCCACATCAAATTTCAATTCTCAAACTCAAGGTCACTTAAATTACACATGTTGTAGGTTGAATAACAATATGATTTTCTAAATTCAAATTAAACATAAGAAACCACGTGAAATTCCATTTTGAATTTGATTACTCAAAACGGAATACAAGCTTATCAGCTCTGAAACTTCATATAGGAGATTTGAAAATCTGCAAATTCCAGAAAATATAGAATCAAGGGGAAAGGGTAGAGTATACCTGTTCTTCATTAGAACCATTGGCATAGCCATCTGAAATTGTTCCACAAGGAAGAATAGCCTGCTCATCGAGGAAAACAAAGAGTAAAAAAGAGGCCACAAAGCAAGCTAGAGGAAAGTGAATCATAGTTCTTGACACTATGAAATATACCTGCAGCTGCACCATAAAGACTGCATACATCTTGACATATTGCATGTCATAGAAATCACCGAAATGAAGAGCAGCAACCTGCAATAGCTTAAAAGATCAGTACAGACATCGACCTTATGAGTCCTGATTCAATCCTCAGAGATAAATCTCCATAATTATCAAATTCAAATAAAGTGTGTTAACTAGTGGCTATACTGGAATAACCGAATAACGCATTAGAACTGACAATAATTGGCATTTTTTTTTTACCTCTGTTAGGCATTGAAGTGTAAGATTCCGGTAAGCAGCAATAGGGAAAAACTTCAAAAGTGTCTCCAGCTAAAAGGTTAAATGAAAAGGTTTTAGTTGGAGCAGATCCAATTGTTCATTAGAGCATTCAAGTTATATATAAGAGGACTACACACCAGAGGTGATTCAAATATGAAACCGATGGGGATCCATGACAGGAAAGCATGAAGTGTGGCCAATGTAGCACGAACAAGTTCAGATCTTTGTGACACAGACAGGACATATAAGCAGAGCTCATGAATAAGACGAAATTCACTGTTCAAAAGGCATACAACAGTATATCAGTACTCACAACAACAACAACAAAGCCTTTAATATCAGTACTCAAAGATAAATAAATGTTTTTATATATAAAGCATTGTTTTAAGACTCAGAGATAAAGTTCAGGTCACATCCATATAGGCAAGACGAAATATGCCACCAAAACAATATGCAATGCATTAAACAGATGAGCAACCTATCGACTAGGAAAGCTAGGAAAAAAAGGAGATGCAAATATAGACCTATTTAGTGAACCCTTCAGCTCTTTGATCTTTTGTTGCGTCATTTCCCCTCTTGAGAAATCAAAAATTTCTTCACTTAACAGCTGCATATTTGTGGCTCAGTCAGACAACCAGTCCAAATATGGTAAAACAAATAGGTAACAGGCATATTGAGCAAGCAACTTGCCTTCAGTATTTCCATACAATTCTCGCATATTGTTTCACTACTCCTTGCTGCTGCAATAAGGTCAGGGATGAAGGTTGTCCACCTGGCAGGCCACTCATGCTTTAAAACCTATTACAACAGAAATAACAGAAATAGGCAACATAAGAAACAGAGGTGTACAGTACTGCGAAAAATCAAAATCCATATTTACCACAGTAGCATAGACCATAATGATTCGTACAACAAATTATGAATACATAGACAAAGAAAAGTCTGCTCTAGAAGACAATCAAAACAGTTTAGCCTACCTGCACCAGAATAATGTTGAGCTTCTTGACATAAAGTCTCTCTTGTCGAAAGGAAACCTCATTGCTTGAGAGCTAGTAGAAAGCAAAAAGAAAAAAAAGGGGGCAGGGGGGTTATTCAGAGAGTCAGCTTTACAGAACACAAAAAACAGCATCAGGTTCATCAAGGTAATGGCCATATATATTGATCATTACCTGAACAATGACATCAGATATATAATTCTTCATACCATCACGTTGTTCCACTGGCAAAGCGTTCCATTTATATTTGATAACATTTTCAAGTACCTAAAAGTATAGGATTAGAATCAGCCATAAATGGTTCATAGAAAACAAACCTTTTGTGTATATATTATTAGAAATATCTCTATTGAGCATAATTCATGATGATAGAAATTGTGAAAGAGCATGTAGCTAGTGGTTGCAAGTGCTTAAGTAGCACCTCCGTCCGGGGTTCAACTCCCCGTGGGAGCGAATTTAAGCTGGTTAAGAAATCCCCTTGTTGGCAAAGCTGCGGTTCAGGGATCTTCTCGGCCTACAAGGTTGAGAGGTCTTCTACGGGATCTTCTCAGACCACAAGGTTGAGGTCTTCTACCTTAATAGCAATGCCCTGGGGAGCCACAGGGGGTCTTGTTTTTTTTATTGGTGACAAAAATTATAGATAATCTACTGCACAGCTAACACAAGGTTATAGACATATTTATGCATTGCTTCAAGGTCATTCAAAGGAGGAGGGTTATGATAGGCTTGGCAAGACAATGAAAACCAGCAACTTTTAGTCTTGTACTGTACCAAAACCATTTTTTTTCAAACTAATATCTTTGTTGGCCTGTGCACCTCTTGTTGAGTTTCATGACTTCGAATCTAGCCTAATCCAACTTGCTTTGGAACAAAGGTTGTCTTGATGTTGGTGTAGATGAGTAAATCTACCATCAAAGTACACATCTCATGTGCTTAAATACACATCAAGATCAATGTTCATTTCAACTTGTGATAAATCAATACCTTACGCTGTACTTCTGTGGTTTTAGATTTAATAAAAAAGTATAAAGGCATAGGGATTAAATCTGCAAACCAGGGTATTACTTGGTCTCCTCTGTTACTGTAGCTAGATTGTTCTTGGTCTTTCATGTGAACACTTATTTAAGTCCAGTCTATTTCGCTGTCTCTTCCTAAGCCAAGATAAATATTGCAGTAAAAAGGTTTAAGTTGCCATGCAATCTTCACACTAAGAAAAAATGGAATAAATCATAAGCTCTGACACTGTCTACACACAACTCAAAAGTCTGAGCATGCATAATGTTTGTATGATAGTAGATAACTAGATATTCACGATGATAATAGATACAGTGTATATTACAACATACGAGACCTTAGGGGTTACATATATACTAGTCTTGGGAACTAAGGAAACTAGAGTCCTATCCGAATACAATCTACATTTACTTGTGAGTCAACTCAAGTCTCCTCTATTTATAGAGGTCCCATGTATCAGGTTGAATCAAGAAGGAAATGATTAAGGGCAAAGTTTCAGAATCAGCTCTCCATCCTCAGCATACTAGCAGCTGCTGCCTCCATGTCACCTATCTCCAGCACCCACAAAACTGCTGCTGTCACCCTCACTCCCTTTTTCCTACTAGGCACGGCCAGCCCTAGGGCTGCAACACTTCTCCGGTTCTCCCCTCCCCAATTTCCCCCCTTGCTGCTATTCTCCTCCCAGTTTATTCCTAATTTCCCACCGGTGAGCCAGCACTATGACAGTTTGGTTTGAGGAATGGACCATCCAATCTTAGCTCCAAACTAACCAATTGGTTTGGTTTGAGCAACGTAATGGGTTGACCTGTCATCACACACCCCTGATCCCTCAAAAGTGCATGCTCAGTACTCCCTCCATACTAAAAAATGAAGTCGTTTTGGACAAGGCTTGGGTCAAACATTGGGAATATAAATCATGAATAACTTTTGAGTTGTTGAGTTTGAAATGTGAAAACCATATGTTGATCTGTAATACTATCCACACCATACAGTAATTTCAGTATTGCCATTTGCCAGCGTGTTCCTGTCCAGTCTTAGTTATTTAATATTATTGTATCAACAGAAAAAACATCTTGAATCAAAACTTACTTGGAGAGCAAAGAACTTGGTATTCAAATTTTGGGAGTTCTGCAGAATGTGAACCACTTGTAGCCACATATCTGGATTATTCTGCAGCTCACGCAAGATTTGATCTGCCGCATGCCTCTGAAACACAGCAGCGGCACATAAGTATTACAAGCACGTTGTATATTGACAGTAACATGAATTATAATAATGCACAATGATAAGTATTCCTATGGTTCATCTTTTATTGCTTTCCCATTTGCAAAGCACGCAATACAAAATGTTTCACCTAACAGTACAATTAGATCCAGACACTGTGATGCAATAATGCAAGCACCATGCAACAACTGCATAAAAAAAAAGAATTGCTTCAGCCTGAATTAAACTTTTATACCAAAAGGGCCAGGGGCCAATAATTAATAAATGTAGAACACATTTCATAGCGCATCTGCTGCAGCTATCCTGTCAACCAAAGTGATGTTTGCACTTTGCAGAACACAATAAGTTGTTTGAAATTAGTTAACATAGTTGTTGCTGGTGTATTACGCAAAAATAGGATTAGCTTTAGCTGATGATGAAAAAAAAGTCAAAAGCTCATACGTTTTTTTCCACTGTGCTGAATACAGACAGTTGATTGGTGTTTCAACAGTCTGCACCCGTACAGAACTGGAGCCTATAAGCTTCTGTAGGCTGCATAATTGTATTAGAATGTTGTATTGGGCTATATTTTCAGATTATTTACTTCTCCATGCAATGTTTTCTGATAATCCGATTAATCGTGATTAATCATCCTTATCGGTACTTAGCACTTGATTAGGCCCTCTAATTCGATCAGAGCGATCAGAAACCTGATCGTCCGATTAATCGTCGATTACTCGCGATTAATCGTCCGATTAGGTCTCTTTACCGATCAACACTAAATAGGCAGATGGGTTACTTTAGTTTATTGGGCTATATTTATTTGGGCTAGGCCCATTAGGGTTTCTCTTATATACCTCACCCCCACTCTTTCTCTCCTCAGTCCTCAGTACTCCTCACTCCCACTGTGTGTGGAGCTGAGCTCCATCTCTTCCCTGCTGCGTGCATCTCACTCCCTCCTCCCTCCCTTCCAGTTCCAATCCAAGCAGCCCATCCGTGGATCTTCCCTGCTGCTTGCTGCTTCCTCCTCCCTTCTGCTGCAGGGTCGCCTATTCTCTTCCCCACCCACAGGCTGCAGGTCCAGGGAGCACGAAGATGAGCTCCTCCTCTGAAGGTGAGTCATTAAATCGGCTTTGTTCTGTCATTTCCTTTTCTCTGCACTATGCTCAAATCTTGATGCTTTGTTTCTTTGGCTTTTGCTGAACTTGCGTAGATGAAAATCGAAGGCGGCAGCTTGCAGTGGAAGTCATCATGCCTGGGCCTAATCCTGAAGGAGGTGCTGGTGCAAGCTCATCAGTTGCATCAGGTGGTGCTGGTTCAGCATCCTCAGCTGCTCCAGATGTTTCAGCCCTTGTAGTATATGGTATATTATATATATACCATACATATATGATATATACTTATATAGTCATGCTATATGTTGGACGATTATATGGACGATTAGACCGATCAGAGGTCGATTAATCGTCCTGATCGTCGATTAATCGTCCTAATCGGTACCAGACCGATTAGGAACGATAAGCCGATCAGAAAACATTGTCTCCATGTTTTTATATGGAACATTGATTATTCATCTATAGTTCAAACTTTGGATACAAATGTTGTTTTGTACTATTGTTGGTGGCCCAAATTTTACAGTTATGCAATTAAAGTGTTAGAAATATAAGTTGCACAGGATCACATACTTGTTTCATTGACTTTTAACAAAAATATCGGGCATCACTAATTGATAGAATCCGAGAAACAGGAGTATTTTCTAGACTTCACTGCAACAAAGCAAGACAATCATCATTTCAGAATCACACTGACAAACCCATCAGCCTGATCAGCGCAGACTGCCCCCTTCCGCTGCGGCGCGATCACAATCGACATGGCCACACGGCCCCCCCAAAAAAAAGCAAGCATCCCTGTCCCAACCGAGCCAACCACCATTCACCACCCAAAAACTTAGCCTGCCCGCGGCGAGCGATCGGCCGCCGAAGGCCAGACGCCCCCAACCCACGGGAGCAATGACAGCAGCAGCATAGAATGGGTTCAGGGGTCGCGGTTACCTCCTCTCTGGAGCCGGTGCCATAGAACGCTGAGACGGTGGCGTCGAGCAGCCGTACGTCAATTGGCTGGCTAAGATCCCGCAGCTTCTCCGCCGCCATGGCGTCCGCCGCGGCGAGCTCGGGGCGGGCGAGCGAGGTGCGGGCGGGCCGGACGCGTAAGTCCAGAGAAGGTTCCGAGGGGGGGAGCGGCGGGCGAGGGAAGAGAGGATTCCGGGTGGGGGCGGACGGATTCGAGGAGCGGATTTTGAATTGTTTCGCTTTCGCCGCAGCCGCAGGGTTTAAGCGAAGAGCGGGGGAGGGGGAAGGGAAGGGAAGGCAAAGCCTTGTTGGGGGTGAAAGGTTGCTGGGGATTCACGCGAACATGGGAGAAACTTGCGTCGCAGTCCTTGGTGGATAATTTAAATGTGGACGGGTATCTCTGATGCAGAGGCAATTAGGCAAAGGAGCGGTTCCGTAATTACGGCTGGCTTCGTAGGGGGGGCTTCGTGTAATTGGGAGGCCGGGGTCTCCGGTTCTGTGCTGGACGCTGTTGCGTGGGTCGAGGTCGACGCAGCCGTTTGAACTTTTTTTTTGGCGCCGACCAGATTTCTCGACTTTGTGACCTTTTTGCTACGAGAAGACTCGATGGCTTTAGAGTACTTTTTATTTTATTTGCTTGTTATTTATTTATTTATTATATTATATTACTCCTAGTTCATCTTTTATGGCTTTGTGTTGAGAAAATTACATATTTAGGACTCCAAACAACGTGCTTCTCAAATGTAGAACTCCAAACATTGACTTCGCAAAAATAGCCCTCCAAACGTTGGTCTCTTGATTTCCATGACATTATGCGTATTTTTTTTCTCTTTCTTAATCTAAATACATGTATTTGCCTCCTAAACAAACCCTTTTGCCACCGTGGCCAGGCCAGAGGCCGGCGCTGCCAGCCCTGTGGCCGTCGCGGCCAGGCCAGACGATGCCGACGCGGCTAGGCCTGAGGGCGCCGACTAGGGACGAGGCCACTGCGTCCGGTGTGGCGAGGCCTAGGGCACAGGCAGCAGCGCCCGGGCAAAGGGCAGAGACCGGTGGGGAAAGGGCAAAGGCCGGCGTCGAGGGAAGGACAAAGGTCGGCGGCGCTTCAAGATCAGAAGGCAGCGCTTCAAGATCAGAAGGCGGCGCGTGGGAGTCTTCCATGGGCGGTGCGTCGAGGATACGTCGGACTCATGCAGGTGCAATCGAACACACAGAAGGGCAAATGGGTCCACTCAGGGACAAAACACATGTATTTAGTTAGATTAAGAAAGAGAAGAAATACACCCAATGTCATGGAAATCAAGTGACCAATGTTTGAAGGGTTATTTTTACGAAGTCGATATTTGAAGTCCCAATTTGCGAAGCGCGTTGTTTGGAGTCCTAAATATGCAATTTTCTCCTTTGTGTTAATGGCAATTCAATTTACTACTAGTTCATGTTGCTTTGTGTTAAGTGTTAACAACAATTCAATTTCAAATAGACACGTGAGAGGTGCTTGCGATTCAACTAGGTATGAATATATCGGCAACAGTGATAATGTCAATTAGCAAAAGGGAAAATCGATTCTGTGACACTGAATGTAACATCCTCAAAATATTAGAGGCCTAAGCAAGGTTTACTTGTGCTTGATTATACTTCTACTAATGCATTTCAGCGTCTTGCTAAGTTTTTTTTAAATCATGCATGCCATATCAAGTTCGTATGCAAACACACATGAAAATTTTTATTGAGCTAAATGTTCCCTAAACTCTTAGTAGTGTTTCCATAATCCCAAAGTGTTCCATGTTTATTTATCATCATTTCGAATGCATGCGCACACCTCCTTGACTTCCTATTCTTTTTTTAAAACTGGGTGACTTCCTATTCTTTAGAAAAGGGAAAGAACAGTTCCATTTATTATCGACTAATCACTAGTGTATCTCACATCAAACACATATTAGTCCACCTATGTTGTCACTCAATTATCAAAACCAAATAAGGACCTTTCGAACGTCGAGACAGGGAAGAGCACGAGAGGACCTTATTCCTTGACTCCATTGTCGCTGCCTTGACACCATCACCGAAAACCTAAACCTAGATCTATGTCACAACCCGATCATGACTAGAGCATTTTCATCAACATCATGAGCATCATCTGCAAACTTAATTCATTTCGAAAAACTTGCACATGTTCAAAACTGCATTTTCCGGGCACTGTCATGTTCATGCGGACAGCTCGATGCACACACGAACAATTCACAAGGACATGGCTACAAACTTAGCAATTTTCACAAACACAGTGATCCCATAGACCATCCGATGACCATCTGGACAGTCCGCGAGATCACTGCATGCACAGAAATGGCTATCCACATTTGGGCACCTCTGGCCCCACTTGTCAGCAACATCCAGGGGTGGGCCCGGTGGGTAGTCCAGTAGGCCCATGACTATCCACAAATTGGGCCCAAAATTTTATTACTACTCTTCACAGCCCATGAAAAATTGGCCCAAACTTTGTCCTTTTAGTTTTACCATACGTGTGCGTCTCAGCCTAGGCGGAACACGGACTCCGCATCCGCGACCCCCGCCCCCTCGACACCAATGCCACGACGCGGGTGCAAGCGACCGGCCCCCGCCGCGCACCGCCTCTCTCGGCCGCTCACCAGCCACGTGGCTGCCCTCACCCGCCTGCCCGCCCCATCCCACCAGGCGGTCTACCCCTGCTCGGCCCGCTAGCACCCACGACGGGCGCGACCATCCATTACGCCACCCTGGCCGACTGGCCGCCTATGCCTAGCCCTAGCCGACGGGCCACTTCCCTGCCCCCCCCCTCCGATGGTTGACTGGTGACTGGTGAGTGCTTCACTGCTTCTATTCCCAATTCCCATATCCATTTAGGGTTTGTACATTGAAGATTGAAGAATCAAATCTATTGTCATTTTTAGGAAGCTGAGGCATAAACAAATCAAATATTGCATTTCTTTTTTAGAAGCATGAGGCAAAAAAGCTGCAACTTGCGCTCCACCAATTCAAGCTATTGATGAAGGGTTGTCTATTCCTATTGTAGAAGATAATCCAGTTGTGAATGATGAAAGTGCAATCGTAGTTGTGGATGAAGGGACATGTGAAGAACAAGAAGAAACACCTATAGAAACAACTACAACTATAGCTACAAATCCTCCAATTGTGAATGATGAAAGTGCAATCGCAGTTGTGGATGAAGGGACATGTGAAGAACAAGAAGAAACACCTACAAAACAGCTACATCGATAGCTATAGATCCTACTGGAGATAATGTGCCATTTTACTAAACTTTTTCTTTAGATTTTATTGTATTACACATGAAATTTTTTGACCAGGGCTACCCTAGTTTCAAATCCTAGGTCCGCGACTAGCAACACCTATCTCCATTTTGTGGGTTGAGTCACTAGCTGAGCTCTCACACTCCCTCACTCCCTCACACTCTCATCTCCACTCTCTCTCTATAGAACCCACCCAAGAGCAGAAGAAGGAAGGAGGGGATCAAGGGGAGATGGCCATCAAGAAGACCATGGAGATGAAGATCTAAGGAGGCCACAAGTGTTGTGGATTGAAGAGGAGGAGCCCTCTCTCCCTAGCAAGGAGCTAGGAGGGGATTTTAAGGAGGAGGAGACCAAGGGGAAGGAGAGGTGGATCTAGCTTCTTTCAATTCATTCATCAAGAAGCTCAGCAACACCTTCTCCACCCTTTGGTAAGTTGATTTCAAGCTCAAACACTTAGATGCACCATAGATCAAACCTAGATATGATGCTCATCACCTAGGAAATGGTTCCAATGAACTTTTGTTGGATTAGATGCAATGTAGTTGGATTCACCTAGCTACTAGATATGCTCTATGGAACCTTAGAAACACCCCCACAACACAGTTTTGCACATGCACAAACCCTAGAGCTAGATTTCATTTTTGAAGTCTTAAAACACATGTAGTGTGTTCCTGCGGACTATTCGAAGGAACACCGAACAGTTCACGAGAACAGTCACTCAACACAAACACTTAGCTTCCACAACACTTGTTCCTGTAGACTATCTCGAGGAGCACTGAACAAAAATTCAATTGTCAAAACAGAGGCTACCAAGTTTGCACTTGCTTGCTCTGACACTCCAGTAAAATTTCAATTTTCAAACCAGAGGTTAAGTATATGCATTACTATGTTACTGTATGACTAGAATTCCTACAACTACCTATTTGAGATTCATCCTTATGATTGATCCAATACCATTTAACATGGCTTGTTTACTTTTGTTACTGTATAATTCATGCTTAGTTTATTTGCTTAGATGGTAGAAGTTGAGAAGGTGATGGATTTCTCATCTCTCGCGCGTGTAGGGCATGTTTGTCCACTAAGCAACACATATTGGAGATATGATCTAAAACCTGACCAAGATGATGAGAATGAATGGAGGGTGAAACGATCCCAATTTTCATGAAGGGAAATCCATAGATTCGAACCATAATGTGATAGTCCCAGATGATCATCACATTATCGAATAACAGTCGATATCACAGTCATACATCGAATACCTATCTTATAGAGAGTACAAATAGCAAGGTTTACTCATTATTATATCGCCACTTGGTGGAATCACTTAGAGCATGCAACATTGGGAACAGCATCAGGTAGAACGGCAGCGGACATTGATACCATCTTCATGAACCAAACTCGAGCAAAGAACAAGACCTCTAATCCTCCCACTCATCTCCCTAGAAGTCGTACTTAGGCTAAGGACCTACCAAACAATTATTAGTATGATTTGTACTGGCCATTGGCTCCCACCCTATGCTTTGCATTTGCTTTGTGGTAGTGGAATGCAAGGGTAGAGCAAAAGACCTACTTTAGGCTTGTAGTTTTCCTATGCGAGTGTAATCAAGTTTTATAATAATTCATCAAGTTTTAACCCATATCATCCACACATTCTCCCATCCCATCACACACATCTCGCCACACTCTCGCTCTCTAGGCGACAAGGACGACTCCCTCTCGTGCCTTGTCTCAATGGCCAAAGACGATAACCAACACCAACCCAGGGGGAAGAAGGAAGCAGTAACATAGGAAAGGTCCATAGCC